GGAACAACGGGACGACGATCGACTATTTTATTATCAGCAGCCTGTTAGCGTTCAGCTACGAGTGGGTCAAGGTAGATGAGGAGGCGATCATCCCGCCCCACAAGCCAGTTGAGATGTCCCTGAGCAGCGCTACTGAGGACATCTGTGTTCGAAGGAAATCCATATATCAGAATATTCCAGTTGAGGTCCCCATAGGCCCAGTCGGGCTTCAGCCTGAGCATGGTGACCTGTTGGTTGAAATTCAAGGCCTGCTCGAGGACTTCCGCCGCCCGCCAGGTTCAGGTTTCAGAGTGCCGACAGGAGAAGGCGAAAAGACCATCCTGCAGGCCGCGCTCGACAGGATATATCCCAAGTGGACGTCGAGACTTGGGGCGGGTTAAAAGATCGTTACCAGCTAGCAGAGATTCGTGGAGCCGTGGGTGGACAGCCCTTCACTTTTGAAACGGTTAGGCTCTCGGAACTCCTCCTCACCTCCAGGAACCCTTTCCCCAGTGAAAGCAGATGCCTGACCTGGATGATCAGGAGATTGAACGAATTAGAAAGCCTCAAGATCTCGGGTGGCAGTCATTCTGCGGCTTGCACCGACGTACTTTGCATCTGCCAGTCCGAGGAGGGCCCTTCAGGACTCTGTGGAAGTCGCACTGCGACTTCTGGCACGCCTTCTGCCACGAGTTGTCCTTGCTCGCCCAGGCTGAAGGCAAGCGTGCGGAGTTTGTGCAGATGGTTGATGTTTGGACTCCTGTTTTGGAGGAGCTTTTTGGCGTCTACCTCATGAAGGAGAGGAAGGAGGCTTTGGAGAGATGGGGGGATTGGTGTGAGGAAGCTTTATCTGGAGGAGCCAGGCGAGGACACAGCAGTACGAAGGTTTCGTCGGGTTTTGTGGAGGATCAGGTCATGCATGCAGATGGAGCTTTATCCACAGCCTTCGGCCTGACATTTCAAGAGCAGCACGATATCTGGAGCAAGGCATGGGGAGTGAATGAGCCTCAGACCAGTCTGGAGGACCCTTTGGGAGCCAACTACATGATCCCTGAAGGCTCCACCTCAGACCAGATACGGAAAATATCGTCCATATTCAAACTACATACTACGGCCATCGACGGATGCCATCCCGAACACTTCTCGCAGCTCTCCGAGGGTGCCCTAGAGGTCATGAAGGGTCTCTTCGACATCATGAATATCCTAGGAAGTAGCCCGAGACATTTGACGGAGCTTATCGTTGCCCTATTTCGCAAGAGTGCCAACGGTCGCCGACCAATAGGTTTCTTCAAGAGTTTCAGCCGCATTTATTCAAAGAGTCTCGCGCACCACTGCAGACAGTGGGAGCAGGTATCAGCCAAGTCTAAGCATTTGACACATGGCGCCCCACCGGCACACCACGGACTCGGTTCGGAGAGCGGTGGTGCGCGCTGACGTGGCAGACCACCAAGGCAGATTTGTAGGAATCCTCCTGGCCGACCTTAAGCAGTGCTACGAACACATTTCGCATCGCACTATGTTGGCTGAAGGATCCAGATGTGATTTCCCTCTGTTTGCCCTGCGAGCATCCCTGGATTCATGCCGTGGCCGCGCAGGTTACTCATGGACCAGGTTGTAGGGGATGCTATCGAACCGCGCCGAGGGATAGTGGCTGGCTCATCGACGGCCACGTTCGAGGTGAAAGGTTACATGCTCCCGACGATTCACGAGACGCGGATTGATAACGGCACCGGTATTTCGATTCACATAGACGATATCACGTTCTATTCGATAGGCGACGCGATCGAGATGTGCTTCAATGGGTTAGCTGATTTGGCGGGCCGAGTATTCGCCAAGTTCACCTATGCCCTGGAGCTGCCTATCCACATGAAACAATTGAATTTCACGTCCAACAGTTTCGAGGTCATGAAACAGGCCAATTGCTTTAGGTGAACGTTCTGGAACGATTGCAAATTCGATCACGAACCTGGGGGTGGACTTTAACGTGGGCAAGGTCAGGGCCTCCAGGGGATGTCGGTCGAAAAAATCATCCAGATGGAAAGCCGCTTGCATGGGATTGCCAACATTTCGCAGACTCAGGGGCCGCACTCTGGGACGACCGCAGAAGGTTAAGATTTTCACGCGTGGGCTGAAACCGTCGATCTGCTACGGTGAGGAGGTCCAAGGTCACCGCCCCCAGGAGTTGAAGAAGCTCAGAGTACAGACGGCTAGGCTGTTTGGTTTTTGGTCTTCAGGAGCTGATGTCGATGTTGCGTGGCTGTTCAAGCCCACCGGATCCTATCCACCACGCTGGCGCAACCCTTCGTAGGTATTGCAGAGAATGGTGGATGACGACGGATAAACATATACGCGCACCAGATACTCTGACCCCCAAAGAGCTACGTTTGAGTTTCGAGCACTCCCTGGACTTCTTCAAGAATCTCTCCAGACAAAGAGTGGCCGCACCGAGTAAGAAAGAAGCCCTAGTAATGATGTTTTGGATAGAGCAGGCAGGCTGGAAGTTTAAGGGCCCAGCCAAGCT